TATCACTGTACTGTCTGGCCACAGGGAATGTCAGTGTGTCGCAGACTTGAAGCAGTCGTTACATGTAAAGGGTATAAGTACACTTTCACTAGGTTCATTACTTTAAGTTAATTTGTCTCTATACTTATTCTGAGCTGAAACTGGAGGGGGATTTAAATATTTTAATCAAAAATGTACAAATAGAAATAAAAGATGACATTCTGTACTGTTTTACTCATATTTATCTTTTGGTCTTAAATACAAATTTCATTAGTACACAGCACAAATGACAAATTCCGCTTCAGTGCCCCAATATGTATGCTTTCACTTGAGATATATATTAAATTAAAATATCAGATACGTGTTTCAGTCTTGTTTCTGTGCTCTGAATGCGGGAAAAAATAACTTCCAACAGAAAAATGGTGCTTTTGGAGATTTAACATGGCAAGGATTTATTTTGCAGTGACCCGGTAAGTGCTTCCATTCTGTATCGAGTCAGTGGGAGAATGGCTTAGCTTAAGCTTGGAAGATAAACTGTGGAGTTTGCTGCAGCTGCCATGCTAATGGTCGTCTCTTGCTCCTCAGTGCATCACAGTCATGTGGAAGTGTAAATCTGCTCTGACTGCATGAGGTGTTCATGGTACAACGCAAACCCTTACAGTCTTTAAGAAGGTTCCTTGTGAATAATCCAAAGATAATAAATAAATCAGGCTAAACACTTAAACCATTTGATTGCAGCATTTAAAGACAGGTATAACTTGCATTAACGGTGAAATACTGCATCTGTGCCCTCACATGCTCAGTGGTGTAATAGTTGCCCAGCCACAATTTCCATGCTGTCAGGAAGGTACCGCTGTGTCATTTGTGACAAACGTCCCTTAACCATTTCAGTATTCCATATAGGCAGAAGGCACCTATCTAAGTAACAGCAGAGATTAACATTCATGGAAAACAAAGAAATTGCAACTATCATTTTGTTTAATCATTGTGAAGACATCAGATGTTTTTTAATGATTATTGGTGTTATTTAATTGTCTTATTCATGAATGTAGTGTACTGTATCTTTCCCTCTGTTTCTGTAACAAAAGTAACCCAAGACAGACTTTACAAGGAGTTTGCAATACACTGGGTATTAGAGACCATAGCAGCTGGTCCACATTTTGAAGGTTTCCTGTAGATAAGTGGCTGAGATAAACATACAGTATGTAATCTTCAGACCTTTGTCTTTACTCTTGAAACTGCTTTAACATTTGGGACACTCAAAGTGCAGTAATTTTAGAAGGAACATCAATTCTGTTCTTGTTCTTTTTCCTTAATAATCGCTGAAGTGCTGATGAACAAATGGCTACAGTCAGTCACAGAGCAAGTAGCCACTGAAACAGAGCTTCCTAACCAGGCTTTCTTGGCACAACTCCAACCTGTTCTGAGCCCACCATGTCCACCTATGCTTGACTTCCACCAGTGGGCTTTGCCAAATGGAGCCATACTGTCCTGTACTATTAAATGGGAGAACCATAAATTAGACCACAACCAGCAAAAATTGGAACATTAAAATTAGTCAAAGAGATTATGGATATGTTTTCTGAAATGACCCATTTTTAGTGCCCTGAAAATGTCCACTACGAATCCTAAGACATTATTTTGCTATTTAATTATGTCTAAGGGCTCTTGATTCAGCTACTGAATTATACATTATTTTGCTTTTATACACTGTTATTGCTTAGATATTTCCTCTAGCTGTTCCAATTTTGTATTACATATGATAGCATACAGTATATAATAAGTATAACATTCTGAATAATGAGTCAGTATTGATAGTGGTCTGATAGTCAGACGATAGACTGAGCTGAAAGACAGAATGAAACAAATTCCAAAGCCACTTCAGCATATCTGAACAGTGTTAAAGCTTAAATTTATTATGCAATTTAATGCTTTACATTTAAGGTTGAAGAAACTTGTGTGTACTTTTTTTGTCACTCTACATGGGAAACTGGTATGCAGTAAGCAACCAGTTTAAAAAACAGAATAGATTAATGGAGAGAGATAGTATAGTTTGTCATCCATTTCATAGGTACAAAATGCTTCTTATTTCTTATTTTTTCTGTGTGCATCAAGCTTCCTGTTTGATAAATATGCATTACATAAAAAAAAAACTTTGTATTGATTAAAAATTAAATTACAGTAAAATAATTCACAGATTGCTTTAACCTCGTAACATTCTTATTATGCTTTTAGAACAACATGCATGGTCCAGACCCCATACAGATATTGACAACAGTGTTTGTAACCTGGTCCCATACTATGAATCCAGTACAGGTGTACTCTAGATGCAGAAACTAGAATATCAATGAATTTGCTATCTTGTGATGAGCCTGGCAGGAAGGAAGTGTGGTCAGAGTGGCCTCTGCTGGAATGAAATGGTAGCGTATCAACTGTAAGTGATCTAAAAGGAGAAAAGGATGAAATACACACATCAGAGAGGAGTGTGACCCTTTTGCGAAGGAGAAGCATGGTCAGTTTCAATGCTAGAAGCCGGAGTTCAAATTCCACTACCTCTGGAACCTTTTGTTCTGGAAAGCTCTCAAAAGAAAGCAACCGCGTCTATTTTTCACTTGCATAACCAGCATGTATTTTAAGAAAATGGAATATACAGTGTCTTAGCTTCACTTTTTATATTTCAACCAGTGTTGTTTTTTTATTAGTCTAACTGTATAAGTAATTGTATAGAATTGGTGCTGACTGACACAACTGGTAGAAACTATTATTATATAGAGTCAAAACCAGAAGATGCTATAACCCTTTAGGTCCACAGTTGAAGTTCCTGCTCGCAAGTTCGATTAGGAAATAGTGGAATTAACTAGTCATTTAGAATGTGAAAGCTGTGTCCTATGAAATATCATCACTCATAGTACTTCTTTGTGACCTAATCACAATTCAAATAGATATTATACATTCAAGCTAGGTTACTAGTATGAGCTAACTTATCACTTTTTATAACTTTATAGCTATTGTACTTTGCTCTTACCTCATATAAAGCTTGCTCTTCAATAGCAGCCTGCTGTAAAAAAGTTCAGTTTCTTCCACCACATTCCATCAAATATTCTCCCGCTTATCTGTAACTGTTATCACAATATCAATCTTCCTGTCAATTTTTGCTAACCAACAAAGACTTGTAATGAAGGTCAAATACATTTTTTTTCTAAGTGTAGTATTTACAGTAGGAGTCTCTGCTTGTCTGGTGACTTGAAGGTAAAGTCCTGTTGCCCTATGTGAACATAGAGTGAATACTGAATATTATATCTCAGTCTCTCCTTTATCCATAGTATGCATGGCAGAATTAATTTGGGTTACTTTAATGTAGTCCAAAAATTCTATATCCTATGCTTCATAAAGTTTTGTGTTTTGCTCAATGACATTTTTAAATCTTTAAAGATAAAGATATTTGTGGGAAAGCAGTGCATTTCACTTCTTTCAAAATCTTCTAAGGAGACTATGATGTTTGTTTTGTATCAAGAGACAATCCTAACTTGCGGTGCTGATTGCTTAAGGTATTTTTTCCACTTTCCCCCATATATTTGAAAATTATATTTGGAAATCAATTACAAAATAAATATTACGCCCTGTGTACAAAAGCCCCCAATTCCCCCAAACCAAAGAAGCATATTTATCTATCCTTCAGCTTTTGCCATTAAATCCTCAAATTAACAGTATTCGATATCAAAAGTACAGTATGATTATTTGGGAAACTTGTTAATACTTGTTATGATGTTATGGTGTGATAAAAAGATTATTAGAACTTAAAATACTCTTACACCTCCTTCTTTCCAGTTGGTCTCCTACTCTCTTTGTGTATTTCTGCCTGTGGTGATCTTAAGCTCCATTTCTTTATTTAACTCAGATTCATCCAGTATGTGAAATAAAACTGACTTGCTCTTCAGAAGAAAAATGCATGTTGAAAACCAGATACTGGTAATCCATTTGTTTCAGCGGAAAGCAGTGTCACATTATATATTCCACAGTTGTTACTTTTTTTTAAATCTTGGTAAAACATAATGAAAGCAAATTAAGTTCTCACTTACTTGTAGGCCTAGATAAAATTAAAATTGCGCTCAAATTCCATGTCTTACTGTATGTTTCGTTTTAATATTTGAGTTGTGCATGCTAAGCCCTTGCAAATATTCTTTATTAATCCTATTTTCAAATCCAACATGTGTGATGTGGGATCAGAGGAAACCACTGCTTGTATTTTATTTTGAAGGTAGTGGATCTTTAACAATGCATTGCATCACTATATCAATCAAGCAATAGAACTGTGTGACTATTTTGTATTCGTGCAGCTTCACAAATATTGTATGTTATATGGACAGGGACACAGGTTACCTACAGTATGTCAAAAATGCTTATTTTCCACTCCAAGGCATACAGTAGTACAATACGCACACATAATGTAATCAAACGTGTGATGTGGAATCAAACAGAAGCCTTAAACTACATTGTACCATTTTGTTTTTTACCAATTTACCATTTTACCATTTTTACCAAATGGTTTACCATTTTTTACCATTATAAACCATGGCAAATTGTAGGAAGCACAGTAAATTATTCCAAACATGATACAGGTGTATGGTAAGCAATAGAAATCACGGCCAATTATATAAACATGAAAAAACTGAAACTATGAAAATTTACCATGGGAAACTAAGGTTTATTTACTTAATTTTACTTGTTTATACTTAATTTTATTTATTTGATTTAACATGGGGAAACCCCAACTAGAGTCCACAAGTCTAACAGTAAACAGAAACTATTTCATTTAAGTTTTTTGTTTTGTTTTGCATCTGTCTAATCCAGAATGTTCTCCAGAAGGGTTTCTATTTCAGTTGATTTTCTGAGTTAATTTGGCCGAGGCGTCTTCTGAGCACCATGCCTTTAAAAAGCCGTCATTATGAAGGCAGTGCTGTACAGGCACAGAACACCCAGGCAGCGTTGTGAAGTGAGTGGTTTGTGTGCTTAATTTGCAGCCGAGACGCCCATTGAGGAGTTCACCCCCACACCAGCATTCCCAGCGCTACAGTACCTGGAGTCTGTGGATGTGGAAGGAGTGGCCTGGAGGGCAGGACTGAGGACAGGAGACTTTCTCATCGAGGTAAAGAGAAATGTCCACCAGGGCAGAAAGCAGAGACACTAGGGAGGATAAATCATGTAGATGAATGGGTGCTTCATGTTATATTGATGTTGCACTTGAATTGATTCAGTTAAATTAAATTAGTTCCGTAAATTAATTAAGAGTTGAGGCGAACCAAAAAAACCCACTCTGGTGGTCTAAGAGCTCAGGAGTTGACCACCACTATAATGGAGCATTTCGGTTTTTATCTTCATTAAAGGTTGAAAATGCAGAACAGGAAGCAACTGTACAGAGCAATAAAAGATAAATGAGCTGAACATAGCTGAGCTCATGCACTATTAATGGAGCAGGGGATTGGATGGTGTTTGGACGTAGCCCTTGAAATCTGACATACAATCAGCTTTAGTATTATAAGAGAAGTTATTAGGTAATTTAATCTGTGCCCTGAAAATGTCAAATATTTGTATATAAACATAATGGCATTTGCACACTCACACGGGATAGTTATAGGTGTATGACTTTCAGGGAAAGTAGTGATATATTTTATTCATTCTTTTCTGTCCTGATGATTTATTTTAAGGGAACAATTACAACAGTAAATATAAAAACACCAGTAATCATTTCAATCTGCTGCATGTCTGCTTCATTGGTGTCCATAGATGCAGAGCTGATGTTGTCAGTAGACAAATGTCACTTTTTTTTACCAGGAATTAAGCAGATTGAACAGTACATACAGTTTCTTTCTCACAACCTTTGATGAAGTAAAAGTAATAATTTTTTCCACACAATCAGGTAAGGAGAGGGGTTATTGAAAACTGTAAAATGTAAAAATTCATTTTACATTTTTATTTAAACAAGATCAAGTACTTAAAACCTCAATAGTACATAACTGATTTGCATTTTCTAAGTCTGTAAAGCAATTAGATAGAATTTGCATGAATTTAAAAATATAGGATCTCTTCACTTCACAGTGTGATGCCAACAACAAGTCTCCTAATAATACAGTAAGCATTTGAGGCAACAACTGATTCCCCTCTCTCTTCTCTGTACAACATCTACTGCGAATTTCAGGGAAAGTTAATTGCTGGTTTGTTGCTACTTTCATTACAAATTGTTTTGTTAGCATTGCATTGCTAAATCAAGACAGTTTTTCCTGCTGTGAAGACTTAAAAAGGCCTTGCTTTATGTATTCATTTAGGTCAAATTAATTTCATACACTTTAAAATAGAAGTTCATTTACAATTACAATGTAGTGTTTGGGTACTGCATAAGAAATACAGTATAAGCATGATCCATTTAAGACAGCAGCATAACAAAAAACTCATGCACAGTGTCAAGGTTTCTGAGAAAAAGTCATGTTTCAGATATACCATATTTACACAAATATAAGCCACATTTTTTCCCCAGATTTCAGGGTTGTACGATTGATCTGCAGCGTATATTTGAATAAAACTCAGCAGTCAATCAGTTTGTTGACACCACCACCAGTTTGCTGTACAGTGTTGAACTGTTTGCACATACTGTAATGGACCACCATTTTGCTTGGTTCCAGCATGTTGCTGCAAATGAGTGATAAAAACTTTAATAATAATTTGTAGTTATCCAAAATAATAATAATAAACTTGATTTAATATAGCGCCTTTAAAGGTGGCTTCTCAAAGCTCTTTACAGGATGACAACAACAATAAATAAAAAGAATACACAAGATAAAACACAATTACAATATACAGAGGAGACATGGATGGTGGTACTAAGAAAAGCAGAGGGGTGAAGAATGGAACCAGTTAAGTAAAGGCTTTTTTTTTCTTCAAAAGAGAGTTTTGAGTCTGGATTTGAAGGAGTTCAGAGAATGTTACTCTCTGATATCCTTGGGGAGAGTTCCAGAGCTTGGGGGCATAACAGGAGAAGGCCCTGTCACCCATACAATGTAGATGGGCTTGGGGGACAGTAAGGAGAGCAGAATTAGAAGAGAGACGGTTGCGAGGTGGGGAGTAGGGCGATAATAGTTCAGACAGGTACTGAGGTGCCAAGCCATGCAGAGCCTTATACTGTAGGTGAGCATGAGGATTTCAAAGTCTGCACGGAATTTGACCGGAAGCCAGTGCAAGGACTCCAGGATAGGAGTAATGTGAACACTTGCACTAGACCTGGTCAGGATTCTGGCTGCTGAATTTTGGACATAAAAAAACAAGAGATCATGGATGGTACATTTTACTGGGGGTGATCCTGTGTGCTGGACAGCATCAGGATCGACAGGCTGATAGGCAGTTTGAAGTGAAATCACAGTCGCAAAAGATGATATGATAAAGTTTAAAGCCCTCAAGGCAGCTACACAGATTCCAGTTCAAGAATTCAGACTGGCCCATGTCTGAATTTCATGAGGGGAAGTGGATTTTATCATTCTGGTATTGTCCTAATCATTTTGCTTTTGAGTAGGCATCATTGCATATCAGTTTGCTTTCATCTCATTTACTCGAAAAAAATCCTGTTTTCAGAACCACTCCCCCAGTTTCTGCTGGATTTACTTAATTATTTGCATTTTGTCCTTTAAACTTCTCCCCATTTTCCTTTATTTATTTAAAATCAAGAGAACTTTTTCATTTCAACCATTTCGAGCCAGAAAGGTAACCTGTGCTTTGTAAAGCGTTTTTCAAATTCTAGTCCACATTTCTGTGGGGCTTATAATCAGGCCAATACGGTAATACAAAATCATGAAATGCTTAATCTCCCTGGTTTTGATATCTGTTATATTTACAAAATACATATGCAAATGAATGTCCTTTGACAAATCAATTGATTCAGGACCACATTAATGTCAGCGTAATATTTCAGTGTCTATATTTTATTAAAATATTATTTTAAATATGATTTAATCAATTATAACCTTCTGGTTATTTATTAATGCAATCATTTAATTTGAGATGTGTTTTGATATGCTTCCTGTAGAGTCTATGAAAAACAAGACAACTAACCATATCTTATACTACCTGTCACCATGACAACATTCTAAACTGTAGACTGTGAACAGACTGGACAGATTACCTTTTCTGCATGTTGTCTGTTATTTGTGTACTGCCATCCACAGGCTACAGACCTTTTTATTGTTGTTGTAAACTAGAAACCAACATTGATCACCAATGACACCAGTACAGTTTTTATTTACCATCTCTTTACATCAGTAGCGGTTTTAAATTTGACAGAGAAAAAGTTGAATTGATACAGTATGTCTAAGGCTGAGCTGGTCAGGCAAGGACCATCAGGTACTTGGAATTTTTTTTTTATATAATTTGTTTTAACTAATGCTTTTAAGAACTAAATAAAGGTTACAAATCAGAGAAGGCCTTTCAGCCCATCTTGCCTGTTTAATAGTAGTTAATTGATCCAAGAACCTCATCCATCTGTTTCTTGAAAGATGCCAGGGTATCAGTTTCAACAAAATGCCAGGATAGCAAATTGGCATATCTTTTGCTGGTAAAATACCAAAAGAATATTTAATTACTTGTTATAGCCGCCATTATAATATTCCTTTTAATTTTTGTCCTGGCCTTTCTAATAGTCTTTTTTACTGTCTTTACTGCTGCTTGACATCAATTATAATTGTATCCTTACAAATTTTATTTTTATTAAAATTCTAAAATGTTAAAGCAATTGCAAGCAGGTGCACATTTTATCCTCCTAAAGAATAAATTGGCTTTATAATATTATTCTATCAGTAATATCCTACGAAAACACTGGAGTGGCAACTCTTTTGATAGCAGAATGTAAAATAATATGTTTATGATCAAGAAGATTAATTTGGATTTATTTTAAACCTTTGCCCACTTTTTTGAGAACAGTACGAGTCCACTTAGAAATGTGTTTATTGTAAATTGGAAATGTGTGCGTTTCATGGAAATTTCTTCTTCAGGAAAGTACTGTAACTTTACAAAGCTACAAAAAATAACATAAATAGTACAGTATATGAATATTAAAAAATACGGTAGGTTATACTATGCCTAGAGTGGAAAATAAGCATTGTTGGGGTAGCGTGTGTCCCTGTCAATATAACACATGTGTAGAGCTTCATGAATACAAAATAGTCACATAGTTGTGTTGCTTGGTTGACTGCACATAGTGATGCATTGTGTTGTTAAAGATCCATTGCCTTCAAAATAAAATACTGTTTAGGCAGTGGTTTCCTCCTTGTCTGCACAAACTAGACAGGTGACAGCTTCTGACACTAATTTGCTGTTATTCAACTGGTAACAGCTGTTAATTCCAAGAGACACCTGTTTTTATTTTTGTTCTCTTTATCTAGAAGGGTAAAAAAAATGCTCAGCCAAGTCAGCAGCTAACAGAATTGGCCACTTGTTAAATTAAAATTATTGAAAAATGTCGTCTTATCACACCAGCTGGAAACTGAGCTCTGTGAATGACACAAAAGGTGAGGGACCAACTGTGGCATTTCAAATGGATTAGCAGAAAAAAAATGAAACAGATTTGTTGGTTGGAAAATTACAATTCTGGGTGTGCACTGTGAAGCCAAGTCAGCAGCCCAGGGAATTATGCACAGAGAAAATAGAAATTCTGATAGCAGGAAATTATAGTTATGCAAAACAACATTCTTTCATTGTTTTATTACAATATAAATGATGAATAGCACCATTTGCGGTTTTCTTAGAAGGATACAAAGGATTGTTTCCAGTAATTCTGTATCTGTATGTACAGTATACATTGTTGCATTTTTCCCCAAGGTGTTCAAACAAAGAACTATTTACCAAAAACTATTTATATTCAGTGGTAATTTGCTGTTACTGGGTGTTCAGGATATATAGGTCCTCAGCTTGCTATAATAAAACTCCTGATAAACAGCTGCTGTCTACTCATCCCGGCAAAGTAATTTCCCGTCTTTCAGATTTTAAATGCATAACGTATTTAAATCTCAGAATTTGAAAGGATTATCAAAGAAAGTGCTAACTGGCAATGCAATGGTGTTTATCCCAAATATAACGGCCTGGGCTGTTTAGTCCTCAAATTCTTGATTACTTGTACACTTCCTCCAGTCTTCGTCTTTTTGGCAGTCTCTTCTAAGGAACTAAAAATACTGCAGTTCTGACCTGATTAAGTCACTCTCACCACAGCCATCACAACCTTCTCCATTTGTCTGTGGGGCAGCCATATTTTGTTTTCTATCACTCTTCCTTCTTTTTCAATTTTTTAACTGTTCTCCAGATGGAGAGATATGGAGACAGCTGTTGTTTTTGCAGTGCAATACAAATACTCAACTCCAGACATCTGGGTGAATTTTTAAGTTGCCAAGGGCACCTTAAATGCATTTCACCCTCTTAGAGACAAGCCAAGCACTTGTCGAATGGAGCCTGCTGCAGTGACTTGGGTCTGTCTTGCTCACAGCCAGTCTACCCTCTTGTCTCCTCTAGGTCAATGGAGTGAACGTGGTTAAAGTTGGGCACAAGCAGGTGGTGTCCTTGATCCGACAGGGTGGGAATCGTCTCCTCATGAAGGTAGTGTCAGTGAGCCGCAAGCCAGAGTCGGAGGAAGTTGTCCGGAAGAAAGGTAAGAACCTTTCTAGCTAGAGATACTATTAGGGTTTCACACTTAGTGACAGCATGTACTGTTCATTGCCAGAAAGATATCATTCTGATTCAAAGAAAATTTAATTTAAGTGACCCTTATTGTGCCACAATTATTATTTTCCAGCAGTAATTGATTTAGAATACAGTAATTCTCCAGGTGAAAACTTCCTGACAAACTTTGTTTCCTCTTAGCACACACGTACATCTTTGTCCCTATAGTCATCTATCTTTGGATGAGAAAAGTCATGCTTTATGAACACCCTGTACATCCAGTGTCCACTCATTGCATTCTATTTTGTTTCCCATTTTCTGATTAAAAGTGTTGATGACATAGTTTATGTATTCTGCCTTTTCAGGATAGCATAATATCATACTTGTTTAAAGTACCATTTTGCTTTTCTGTTACAATTTTCTGCTGCTGTTTTTGATTAGACTGTGATTTGTCTTTGATAATAATGTGAAAACAAATTGCTTCTGAATCAGGTTCTGCAAGGTGGTTATGAATGTGATACCAGCTCTAAATCTGGGACAGTGCTTTCCCAGTGGGCATCAAACCGTTGTGTACAACTAATTTGTTTCGTTTCCGTACTTCCGGGCAATCATTTGCAATGCGTTTCAAGGAGTTATTTTCTGTTTATTACGGTATGCATAGATTAAATGAGTTTTTAATTAAACCATGTTATTGTTTTCTTGATGCTGTTTTACGAAAAAACTGCTTAACAGCAGTTATGTTTTTTATGTTTTGAGTTTGGTTTCTTTTAGGTTTTGTCATTTTTTAACAGAAGGTCTGTGGGGTTATTGCCATGGTCTGAAGTAGTAATGCATAGTGAATTCATAGCAAAACCATAATAAAAGTCAGATAAATTGTATGTTTGCTTCATTAGGTCATTTCATTCCTAGACTACCTTAAGAGAAAAGGAATAGCATACACAATAAGCATTTTATTTGTAAACTAGCTGTTTACTATTATGTAGACAAGATTCATGTTTTGTGGATATTATTTTTATAATATTGAGTGTCAGTTAAGGACATTACAGAGAGGGGTAAATTAAAGAGTTAAAATGTTGGCATTGATGGAACTTTTACAGTACTTTAGACTCAGACACCAATTAGGCAGCTATTTAAATTAATTGCAAAAAGCATTTTTGAGCAATGCAAGTCACATATTTCCATTTCTCCTGTTGGATAATTAGATAAGAGACTGACAATATCTTCCATAATAATTCAATATTTTTATTATTAGACACTCAATCAATCTTGTTACATTTTTACTCTTTTGAAACACTAATGCTTTTGGTGAGTAAAAAACTGCTTCTGTTTTAATTATCCACTGGGTTAAATAGGGTTTAATATCAAATCCAGATCATTAGCAGTCTGGAGTTTCTCTCATATGTCCTCAAAATGTAAACAAGAAAGTGAGAAAATGCTTCCTTTCAGTAAATATAGAGTACTTTGTATTTTAATTCCAGCAAGACGTCTCTGTGTTGTCTCTCGAATGATGACAACTGTGAAAACACAATGCAAGACTATGTTTTTCTTTGAAGAACGGATCAGACATACAGAAGAGTTCAGTTTTAAAACTATCTAAAATTAGGTCAGTAGTTTTACTGTTTTATAGCAATATTGCTAATTTATCAGTTATTAAAAGTAGAGTTGGGCTACACTTAGCAGATACCTTTGTGTTCAATATGAAAACTGATCAGTTTCCAAAATAAATGTTGTACAGTAAAACACCATCAAAGGAACTACTTTGAAAAACTCTTATCTATAGTGAGATGGATAAGGCTATCATTTGGCTATAATGTTCAAACAGTGGGTGTAATATGTTCCTTTGAACAAAGACTTGTCACAGAATTGCACTATGGACTGAAACAGTAGGTTGTTATTTAAGAAGGTTTGTTATTCTTAGATTCTTACACTCGGAGTTAAATCATCAGTTTATTAACACTCTTGTTTCATTCTTTACCATCATAAGCCATTCTCAGGAATGTGAAAGAATTTGCATTTGCATGATGGAGATATTTGCTCAGAATAATCTCTTTGCTCTTTCTTTGCTTTGTTGCTTCGCTTCACTTGCCTTGTCTTGTTTGATCTTTTACGTGATCTCCTTAATTTCACTAAGATAGTGTCACAGATTCCTGTATTTGCTCCATCAACAACAACTCTTGTGATTTGTTTTGCGTTCGCCTCAAGTAACACATGATGATGCTTTTACCAGCACATAAGAGCATAAGAAGGTTTACCAATGACTGGAGGTCACTCTGCCCATCAAGCACATGTGGTGGTTCAAAGCCAATTGATCCCAGAATCTCATCCAGCCTTTTTTTTATATGGAAACCAGAGAATCAGCTTCAACACCATGGCAGGATTGCACCAGATTCCCACAACCTGGCACTGCTTTCCTTTCTGTATAGTTACAACACAGACCACAGATGTCATAACAGGGTACATTGAAATGTAGGATTAGCCTGGTAGAATGATACAACTCTCTAGAATTCCCACTGTGACTGGCTTCTTCCATGACAGGAGGTCAATGTTCTGGTGTAGTGGTATTCACCACTGAAGGAGCAGGATGAGCAGCTCTGTGCCTGGGAATATGCCCGAGAATGGACTAATAAACTCTGACCAGGATAGATACAATATATACAAAAGACATAGTCCAACATAATATTTTTTATAGAAACTTTTTACAAAAACCTACAGCAAACTTTATAACAGTGCAGCGGTAAGCTCCTTTTGAAATTTACCCAAACGTGATGCAATTTCACAAAGAATATCAACACCCAAGAATTAGATGCATCTGAGGGTGTTTAGCAAGTATTTAGGTATAGCGGAATTTGGCTTTACTCACTCACCAGAGGCAGAAAGATCCATGCAGAGTGAGGAATTAACGAATGGGTAGCTACAAAGGTGGGGATGGAGTGGAGGAGCGTGGAGAGGGATTTGGGGGATTATATGGAAAGCTTGGAAAAGAGATAAGCAAAAGGCTTGTTTTCTCATCCCTCCCAACTAACTTCCATGAAACCATATGCACTCTTTTGACTCACTGCAAACACTCCATGTTAGGTGCTGATGTCAGTGGTGCACCCAAGGCAAATTGAAGTACAGTGGAATTTCATACAGATATCACAGCTGAAAAAGAGCAAATGTGTGAAAATATTATTTCACTGTCGGAGGACTTGAAATTCAGTTCTAGTTATTTATTTGTGGGTGGACTTAGGCCTGCAGATGAGAAACCTTTCAAGAACTGGCTGTATAAGCAGAAGCTTTTACCTACCAGAGTGTAGATTTTCAGTTTTGTTTATATGCTCAAAGTGTTTTGAGGCTGTAAATGACAGACTTTGGTGAAAAGCGAACATGACATATGAAAATTAATTTTCCCTATTTATATAACTGTTGAGGAAATATTATTTTTTATCTTCTTTAACCCTTTGGCTAAACCATTGAACTTAATCTCTAAAGTTAAGGCAGTATTTTACCTGTGCTGTTTGAATGCCATGGAAGCAAGTTCTCCAAATTCAGATTGCAAGTAGACTGTGAAATCTCTAGAACAGCCTGTTTTTATTTTTAAGATATTGCTTTTATGAGTACAGATCACCCTTACAGCTTGGGTTGCTTTGAGTTTAAGCTAGTGTGGGACAAAAAAGTGAACCCATTAAGCAAACTTTTAATTGGTATGGTAAAGAAAGAATATAAAGTGAATCAAAGGGACGCTAACTTGAAAGTAGTTGTATATTTGCAAAGGAGATGTTTTTGTTTGCTGTTGTTACAGTATGTCTTTTTCTACAACTGTGAACTGCTCTCATATTCCTAACCCAGTAACAATCTGTAATATGAAAATATAAATTGCTTTCATTTTAACCACACTCTAGTGTTGTTCTCTTACATATTCTGATCTCTTTCAACCATACAGTACAAGAATAAACATAAGGTATCGATAAAATGTGAGAAAAATCTACCCTGTGTAACTTTGTAATCCCCTGAAAAACATGTTGAATAAGAATGTTAGGGTTTCTGTCTTTAATGATTAGTAAACTGTCTCTGTCAATTAGTAACCAGAACAGCCTCAACAACCTCCAACCTGAATCACCCAAAGGGAGGAGAGAGAGAGAGTGAGGGAGAGAGAGCAGGAGTGGGAGAAGGTTATAACGTGATGTACATTCACAGAAAATAAGTCTGTGAGCGAGAAGTTTACGCCAAGCTATGCAAAAAAAATTAACAGGCAGCATTGGGTGGGTGGAATATTCATTTGGATAACTGGGCGGAAAACTAACTGAATTCAGTATGGAGAAGACATCAGATTGCTTTCCGTCGTACTAAAGATTTTTCTTTCTCTCTCCTTACAAGAACAAGTTGTGCGCAGGGACAGCTTTCAGATTGATTAACTTTCAAAAGCTAATAGAATTCACCTATTTATGTTAAAAAATAGGTTGAAAATATCCCTAGCATGTACCTCAGTACCTGCTCTGATCATAGTGGAGCAGCATAAGAGAGCTTTGAAAGCAGAAATGGAGATGAAGGATGATTATTATACCTGGATTTGAAGGATTTCATGAAGGAATTACAGCTATGAGGATTATTGTTTCTGTGAGACACTGGACATAAGGAAAAGGAAGAGATGAATGGAACAGATCATTTTAATCGCAGTTGACAAACTCACTGGCAAGGAACCAATTGTATCTTTTGCTGGCCCAGCATGTTTTTTGTCCTATCATGGATCAGTTCATTTCTACCTGGAATAACAATGACCTGGGGTTAAGTACAAGAAAATACCCAAATTTCAAAACGCTAAGCTTTGTTTGGAAATTTGGAAATTTTTCGTTTTAAATTTTGTATTTTGACTCGCCCTGCTTGCAAGTGCTCAGCAGTATGGTGGAGGTCAGTGGATACTTTGACCAGATTGACTTTAAATGCTGTGCTAAGAATCCCTGGTGAAAGAGAAAAGCATCGCATAAGGCTCTCAGCCGTGGGTAAAGATATCTTGCTGTGTTTGAGGTCAAAAAACACCAGGCACAGCCTGCTGTTCTCACTGTTCTCTAAGTGGAATAGAGCCTTTAAGTGCAACTTTCAAAAAAGACATCCGCATTGGAAACTTCTGTCGAAACCACCCAGCTGCCGCAAAGCAATTGATTTGCTTGAATGTGTAACCATAGTTTACCATGGGTTTATAGATGGAAAGGGCCACATTTTCTGGCCACCAGACATTTGCCATCATAGCTGTCTCAGGATACCTACTATCACAGCTCTCTCAATAAACTTTGTGGAGGCTGGCCAACAAACAGTAGGAACGTTGTGGATTTATTCCTTTAAAGATTAAAGCCTAGCAGTGTACCAAGCTGCTCGCTTTGATGACCGTGCCAGATGGATGAATATGGGAGTTTGCTTTAACCCAGAGAACACATCAGAGTGCTGCTATACTGGATGGAGCTGACCTGCCTTTAATGAATTGTGACCAAGGGAATTTGATATTCATTTAAGGCTTAATCATTCAGCTGATCGGTGGATTTGCTGCATTTTGTTTCTTCCATTTTGAGACATGCAGTTTGTTCAGGAATGCTGGAAAGGAAAACCTATAAAAAACATTAGTATCCAAATGCCTGAAATATTAGGCTCTTTTGCCAAAGATGTTGACTTTCATACCATCTGACTGATGAGTCATTTTGCTTTCATAATGTAATATAGTCTGAATTAACTCATAGAAGAATTTAAAGCCACAATATATGTATATACTATATAATAGTACATTCAATTGCTTGTAAAAGCATTGAGTTTTAGTGGCATTTCTAGGACTGGGAAATCAATGTAGTAATTAAATCCCAAAGCATACTCAGTACAAATGTACATTCTATGTTTTCATACAAATATTTCATCTTTAGTCCTTGCATTTGTACACCCACTACACTGCACAAGGACTGAAGTATTCTACTCCCTCTAACAGTGTGCTTGTAGTGAGGTGGTCCAACCCAGGCCTCCCTGCTGCCCTGGTTTCCATGGTTACCACAATGAATGTTTGAATTCAGCATTGTATTAGGGCCTGGGAATTTCTGTCTCTCTATTTCTTTGAGTCCTCTCTCACTCTTACTCAATTTCTCTTGCTCTCTATACATTTCAGTACCTTAGGTTACTGGCTTATTCTATTCTATAGTAATATTCCATTAAGAGAATCTGATTTAAAACATATAGCGCACCGTTGTCCTGACATGTTAATTTTGATTTGCCAGAGTCATCATTCACAATACTTCCTTTCAAACACATGAGAGGATTGCTGTGGAGTGAGTGTTTGAGTGAAAGAAATATCATATCAAAATTAAAGCATGGACAAAGACCGCTGTTATTTTTCTCTATGGCATTCACACGGATTGCAAAACTGATTTACCCATGTCAGGCTGAACTCTCCTGCTCTGGCACATGTCTGGATGCTGAATAAGTTTTGAGTAGACATGATGCCTCCTGTCTTTCTGGTGCCTTACTTATTTTTTAATGGGTTGGCTGACTTTTTTTTTTCCTCCAGAGAATGTGCTACAGTTTTTTTTTTACAGAAAACCCAAGAAATGGAACTGTGTGTTCTTTTTGAACGCCAGCTCTCCTCTACATCTTTAAGAGAATGCTTCTTTTTTTTTTTGAGCACCACACGCAACAGAAATGGACTGTGATGTCGCCTTGTCAGGTCTCTTGATATCCTGGAGGTTTGGGGTGTTTGTTTTCATTGCTCTCGAAGTCATCTCTTGACCAGGATGCGTTAGGGAATATCAACCATGAAAAAATTTGCCTCAAACCGGAGCCTGAACAAGCTGCTGCAGCAGTGCGAGTCCTCCAGCTCCCCGGAGTATGACGAAATCAAGGCCGTGGAGAAGAAGTGGCACCTCCACGTAGGTGGCGCTCGCAAAATCCTGGGCAGGAAATCCAAAGTCTCTTCACTTTTCATTGCAGCTCCCCCGCCCCCGAAGAGGGCGCCCAGCACCACCCTCACCCTGCGCTCCAAGTCCATGACAGCCGAGCTGGAGGAGCTCGGTAAGCGTTTCTCTTCTTTGTCCTTTTTCCTTTGTATTTGTGAATAACTCTCCTCCAGTTAGTGGTAAAGCAAATTTCTCATGTGCACTTTGGATGAGGTGAGGCACGTCAAGAGTGTCTCCTTGTACTAGCATGGACACAGTCATTGACATACACCTGCAGAATTCTTATTTTGGCCTCTGTCTTTCACCTAGCCTTACTGAACTCAGAATATGGAAATCTTTCTTAGAGTCAGGGATTAGGCTGTTTTTAAGTGGTTATATATGAAAGAAACATAAAGGCCATCAGCCTGTCTGACTCATTTGGTTGTCAGTAGCTTATCCGTACCCGTCATTACTGTGTGCATTCTTGGGAAGCAGCTTAAAAACCTGCCTAGGTGTTTTCTTACAGATACATATTCTAGGGGTCAAACGGGTGCTTCCTGTTTCCAGTCTTGATGGGCCTGTACTTCAATGTTCTTGAACCTTTGTCTTATTTCATATAATACTATAGTGCTTAAGTCTGGTTTTCTTGGTATATCATGGGTTGTTGAATAGTTGCATATCCCCTTACATACTCAAAACTAAACTTTGTTCAAGACTAAAAGTTCAAGACTATATGTGTTTTAATTTCTTGGCTGTGTAAAACATAATTCCCTAAGCTTTACAAAGGTTTAGTCTGTTTCTGTTGCAAAACACGAACCTTGGGATTCGAGGTGCAATTCTAGGATGGAGGATTTAAAACCTTAATTTGTTTGTGAACATTTATGTTCATTTTAAGTTTTCCAGAAACAGAAAAAAAATATATCTATACCCTCACCTACCTTGCCATCAGTGGTACAGTACTGAGAATGAGAATGCTCCATATACGTAAATAATGTCATGAGAGAACAGATATCCAGTGGTTCCAGGGAAGAGAATGAAGAGCTCCCAAATTAAAAATATTTTTAGCTGCTATGAAGTAAACTAACCTCTTTGGCTCTCTATGAGAGATAAAACCAGAGTAATAATTTAGCAAGAGGAAGAAGGGGGAAGAAGAACCCTATTTACAATTCTTAATTATATCTGCACACTCCCAAAACATGTAAATGTTGCCCATAACACATTGAAGTAAAGGTTTCTTATGACAGCTAGTTGTGTACACTCTGTAGGAACCTAAGCAACATATTTAGTGTTGTTTTTTTCTGTGAGGATATACATTTCTCCTTGTGATAGGTTTTTAAAAGAAAGGGTGTAAATTTGAAAATCTATTTCTAAATCTTTACTGCAAAATGCAGACACAGCTGTAATATGTTTTTAATGATGTTCAAAATTACATTCACATCTACAATATTATTTTCGAAGCTGGCAGCTATGAAAGCATCAGTAAAATTAACATTCTTTTTGGAGAAGAGTTCCTTTCTCCTACCCTAACTTACAGTCCCTGCCAAGGAATTTAAGCATCCTAATGAGAAGGATGAAAACTTCAGATTTCCTTGTAATTTTTTCCAGTTCTTGGATGAAAATGGCCACTTGAGAAGTATTTGTTAATGATGAAAAGTAAAAATGTCATTCTATTTATTACTACTCATAGACTATATCATCTCCACTGCTACTATTTCATTCTTTTCTCCTGTTTCTGCTTAGAATATCAGTTGTCATGGTAACTCCAGTAAAATAACATAAGCCACCACAAACTGTTTGCCAGGAAGAGGCATCAGTCAGTGTCACACAAATCTGAAAGCTCCATTGGAGAGAATTAAGATCCCTGGCCAACAAATACTACCTGTCCTCTTCAGAGTCTCGAAGAACTTTAGCCTATAGAAAACCATGAAACCCATCCATCTTTTCCTCTGTTAAATACTTCATGTCAATTAAAGAATAGCAAATAATACACCAACTACTTGATTGTTCTATTTTGTGATTTGTGAATGTTGAGACATTTGCCTTGAGAAAGACTGTTTCAATGGCATTGACCCATACCAGAAATCATATACATACCACAGCCTGAGCAAATTTATTTTCATTATGTGAAGATTAATATTCTTCTAGAATAGCCACATGACCGCTGTAGTAAATATTCAGGATTTACACAACAGTCCCAAGTGCAGTGTGGATGCAAACTAGACTAATGTAATGTATTTTCTTTATTGACAAGATTAAAAGATTGCTTGAAAGAAGGTGTGTTTTTATATGAGATTATATCTGATAGTAAGGAATATGGAACGCATTACAGTTTTTGTTTGTCAAAGACATGTGGGGTTTAAAAATACAATGTGACTAATGCATTTTGTCATACTGTGAAAAAGAGAATTGTTTTTAGTCAAGTCAAGCTGTTTATTAAAAAGTGTATCCATGGTAACTGTTATTGAATGCCACTTAAATTCAGTTCATATTTGACCATCAGTATCAATAATTCAACAAAACACTATATAACAAATATGGTGGAGGTGTGTCACAAGGGAAAGTATTTAATTGGCTTGCTTCATCTATGGCACAACATGATTGGCTCCTTGATTTATACTGTAGCATCCTATGCTAAAAAGGTAGATTTCAATATGGTGTTATTTAATAGAACATGGTTGCCTTTAGTTTTACATATATTGACATCAAAATCTATATCATATTTCAAGAGCAATTTGGCAAAGTCTTGTCCACTATTCATGCACTTTGTGGTTAAAGTTAGGATTTTTTTAAAATAGCATTCATCTGGTTTTGCAGTTAAATTCTACCTATGACATTAGCACCATAGGAATAGCTGCTATATGCTTACCACAGTGTATCACTGTATTATAGTGTAACAATGTCTACTGTTTTCTCTATTGATGTAAGAATAATTTCTCTCTGATGGTGAGATTTGAACAATGACTTTCTCTAGTCCGTTTTCTTGAGTTCTTAAAATGTAATGCTGCAGCTTTTTTTCCCAATTTATTTCCCACAAGCATCCGCAAGGAGGAGACGAGGGGGTGAGTTGTGTAAAGACACTTACGTCATCTTCAGTATTGGCACCCTAAGCTAATCTTCAAACCTGTTAATAATTTAATCAGTGTTGATTGGGGCAGGAAGATCCGTAGCTATGCACCTTAAGAAAAAATGCAACCTCTTTGCAATTAATGTTGCACATTTTTGAAGCATCTCACATAGTCTGTGATTTTAAAATGTGGATGCTGTCTGTCATGTTTTACAGCAAAGAGTTTGCGGGTCACAGACCTTTTTTTCATCCTCGTATCACATCCCAGCTTCTCTTCTTCTTTGTCCACACATGCAGAAAAACTGGATGAAATGCTAGCTGCACAAGAACCAACCCTGAGACCTGAAATCGCAGAAGCAGACTACAGGGCAGCCACGGTGAAGCAGCGTCCAACAAGCAGGAGAATCACACCAGCAGAGATCAGTGTAAGTCAATGCCCAACTCCAACCATACCAAGAGGAAGCAAGGCGATGTCTGGAGATAAAAACAGGTTCCGTTCACCCAGATAAATCAGTTCAGCAGTTTGTAACACAGAAACAGAAAGTTCACTTTTAGCTCCTTTGTGTTTGTGCAATGTAATAAAAGAATATTCTGCCCTAATGATGGAACAGAAAACCATTTCTTTGATCAATGCGTAATATTGGGTTTGTACTTGGCTCACAAGGTAATACGGATATCAAGAGTTGGTTAGAATTACTGAGATCATATCTCAGTTATATAAAATAAGATATGAACACAAAACTTTTTACTCTGGTGAATTAACATGATGAGAAATGTGACCAGATTTAATTTTCAGAAAAAGTTTAACTGTCACCCAAACGCTTTCAGAAAAAAGGCCTCCATTCAGATTGCAGTTTGGCTGCTGTACTGCAGCTACAGACCAACGAATTCACGTTTTGGTTGTGTTATGACCAGCTTTACCCAAGCTGCGGCATACAATTAGCCCAGCTCCACCAGTGTTTCCTTGCCTTGGAGGGTGATTCAATGTGAATTTGTTGGTGTCTGTGAGCTTGCAGTAAGAGAGAAATCAGGCACTCAATGAGGTGCTTCAACTATTCTGTTTGATATTGGAAGATTCATATCAATTGATCTTCCCTTTCCTGTTCTGTTAAACAGGATATAGCAGTGAACTGGACTGATGAAAAATTGCCCATTCTAAATTGGGAGTGGCCTAAAAATCTGAAATTCCAGAGGCAAATCTACTCCTAAAACTGCCAAGATAAAAGCAATGAAGGCAATGTAACACTATTGTAGATGGAAAGGGGCAAATTTGTTATTAATAAGACGTCATTTTAAACAACACAACAGTTTTCTTCTCTGGAACTGTGTAATGTACAACATTTTTATACAATACTCAGTTGTAAAGCTGTTTTACATTATTTGTGTGCTCTGAGTTCTTACAAAAAAATATTATTAAGAATGTTCTAGTTCAAAATTCACACATTTCTTCCTTGTTAAAATTGAGTGTTCCTTTTGATTCTTCGCTGAAAGTGATCCTATTTATATAACTAAAAGACAATTGGTAGAATGTTATTGATGGTTTACTCATTGTGACCTTTATTGATTTTTTGCTCAGAATTGTTACAAGAGCAGTACCTTAATGAAAAAAAACATTAACATTAAAATCAAATACTAGCTCTCTGCAGTTGAATACCAAGATGGCATTATTTATTAAAAAGATGTTTAAACTTAATTTGCAATATTACTTGTCTCCTTGGAAACCTGGAAATGAAGGATGAAATGGGAGACAAAACTTGGGTCATTGCATTCATCCAAATCAGGATATAAGAAGACAGTGCTTGTTCTAAAAGCAGCTGTCAGATTACAGCAAGTTCTCAGAGTTTGTTACTCCTTGGCATAAATTGCACTGTAGCACTCCTTGAAGTCTGAAGTCAATGTTGTACTTTAAAATAAAGCAAATTTTGTTATTTCGGCTGCGATGCAAATGTGCAGCCACACAGCCAGAGATGATGCCACATATTTAATAACACTTTTTCTGTTAAGACTAATTTACAGTCAATAGGAAGTGCAAAATTCATTCTTGATTAGCAGTGGAAGTGTAATTTGTCTTCACCAGGAACTGTTCAGCCTGTCATCCCTCTAGATTCCATTACTCTTCTTAAAACCGAGAAACAAACATTTTTATTTTTTTCTAATTTTCTCTGGCATGCCTACTCCATCCAAATGTTACTGCATGAGAGTTCTATCTTCCATACCACAAAAAGCCATTTTTGAAGTTATTCATCTCTGAAAAACGAACAAAAAATAGATTGAATGTATACGCCTCACCTTTTAATCACACACCCCTATTGTCAAGGATACCAGTCATGTAAGACTGTGATAGATTGGATGTTGCTGTCTTTAATTCATAGACTATGGAGAGTACTAGAATGGTGCATTGAAAGACTTAAGGTGGCCAGGTGAGGAGGGCCTGATAAGATTCAGCAATAAACTTTCAGTGTTTGCACAAACAAACAGATGTCTCTGTAGCAATGGCAAGAGACAATGAAGTGTTGTGAGACATATCATGGGCTATCCATTTTCTGTGAGTTTCTTCATTACCATGTCATGAAACTTCTGTTCAATGTGGAGTTTAAGAAAGTACATGCTGATGCACAAAAGAATCAAGTCTAATGGATTTTTTTTTCAATGAGGAAAATGTGATGAAAATGTGATATAAATATTTGAAAATGGTGATACACATGGATCAGATGGTTGAGACAGTCCTGTGATGGTCTGGCAAAATTGTCTTCAAGGACATGGCCTATTCCTCATATAGGGACTAGTCTTCTTAATGTTTGAGCAAATAATATCATTTGTCAGGCACCTTCTCTCACAGTTTAATCATCCTGATCAACCTGGAGATCCTCAAAATTTAAGTAAAGCATGGACATGTCTCTCACCATTCTTGCATTAATTAAAATAAACTTTTTGAATGTATTGTTCTTGTTTTGAATCTCTTCTTCAGATATTATATTTCACATTTTGATTTTATGTAGTCACTGTTTGAGCGTCAGGGAATGCCTGTACACTCTGGACTTCCTCCAGGGGTGGAGAAATCCCACATCCCTTTGCCAAAAGGAATGCCCAGAACTAAATCCGTAGGTAAGGTTTTTGTAATTCCATATTTTGCTTTTTAGTATTTTATTTTCTCATCACTGTAATACTTTATAAAGCCTAGTGGATTGCTATCAGGAAAAGAAAAACAGTACATATCTCTTGGTTTCTGTGCACTGTGCAGCCCACGTACTTTTTTGTTTGTATTGTTTGCACATCCTGCATCAAAATTAAGAACACAATGAGACATTCATGAAATCAAAAAGAATAAACATACCAGCTAGCTATAATCTTCCAGCACAAATTAAAAAAATGAGTGTAACCCTAGAAGATCTTTGCAATTAAACAGCTGCCACCATTCTGTAGAGGGTTTGTTAAGGTAAGTACTGAAATCATTGTTCACTGTAATATCAGTCAGATGACAAACAATGATTAGCATTTGAAATGATTCTCAGAAAAAAGTTTACTTTCAGTTTCAAGTTTCTTACAGGCAATGACTTCTAATGATGCATCTCCGTGTACAGTATCTATATGAATTTTATTAGTCTTTCAGGTTTTTTTTTTCAAAAGATAAAAGCTTATACTCATTTAGTCTAATAGCTTCTGTTCACTTAATAAAGTGATATTTTCTTTGTATTGTCTGCAACCCATCCATTCAACAGTTACACAGTAATGTATAAAACATTAACATTTGGATTATTTTGCTTTTTGTTAAGGGAAATTAATATTATTGTTGTTTTCTCCAGTCATAACACTATGACGTAACAAAAGGCTAAATAATATCTTTGATCATGATTCATTTCATTTCTGCTACTCTTAACTCCAACCAAACCTGGGAAGGAGGTGTTGCTAATATCTTTTGAAGTTATTTAGTAAGTCCTGTAAGGATTCTCAGATTTGGCTACTTGAACACTTTCCAGATGCCCCCCACCACTTTACCATCTCAGATAATATTCATATGGAAGCTTTCCTCTTCAAACCCTTCCAGTTAGCATAAACTGGCTTTGTGAAGTACTTTAAGAGCACACTTATGGAAAAAACACCAAGAAATTTGATTGACTGAATGAGTGGTCCTGGGACTAGAAATAAATGTAGACATTTAGTTTAATTAAAGAAAACAGAAGACAGGATGACATGGTGAAGCAGTGATTAACATTGCTGCCTCACTTCAATGGGGCCCTGGGCTCAATTCACATCCTGAGGTGCTATTTGCGTGGGGTTAGTTGTTCTCCTGTGTCTCTGAGGGTTTCCTTCAGTTGCTCCGGTTTCCTCCCACAGTCCAAAGACACCGTGGTAGGTTATTTGGCTTCTGGGAAAATTGGCCCTGGTGTGAGTGTTTGCATGTCTGTGTCTATGTGTACCCTGTCATGGACTGACATCCCATCTAGAATGTATTTTGCCTTGCATCCATTGCTTGCTGGGAAGTGAATCCATCAGGTGCTTACTCTTTTATTCAAAAATGGACTTTTTATCAAAGTCCTACCAGCTTAGAAGTAAAATGAGAAGAAATTTTGTTTGTGTTTCCTGTGGCTCTCTTTTTGTAACTAGAACAACATGATATATTTTGCAAAAAACAAATGCTGCTGTAATTCAAAGGCATTCCATAACTTTTCTTATTTCTACTCAACCGCTTCACATTTGTGAAGTTTTTTTCTGTTATGTCATGCAATACAGTTCTTTGTAATGGACATAACAGCAATTAAAAATAACAAAAAAACAATGACATACAGTAGAGAAGTTGTAAGGCAACTTTATTTTAAATAACTTCATTTTTCTTTCTTGTTTGTTTTCTGTGGTCTAAGAAGATAAAGATAGCTGTTATTCTCCTTGTTCTTCTACTCTAATGCAAGTGTTGTCTAACTATAGGGGCGTCTGAAGAAGACCGATTGTCAGCTTCTACAGGGGAACCCCGGTTTCCCAGGAGTTCATCAATGACAGATAGCCTTAGAGACAGCCACAGTATCCCTCCGCCTCCCCAGACTGCCCCTCCTCCTCCCCCATCTCCCTATTATCTGGACACTGGTCCACCTCCAGCCTTCTGTCCCCCACCCCCCCCAGGACGGATTCATGATCAAACACGCTCTAGTTTTAAACCGGGATCAGAGGCCAAAATCCATGGGCTGCCACAGGTAGTGACTACTGCTGAGATCTATGAACCTCCCCGACCTTCAGCCGCTCATGCTGAGCGCCAGAAAAAAGCCCGTTCCATGATCATCTTGCAGGACTCCTCGCACCTTCCTGTGGAGCCCACAGACATCCCACGACCAGGACCTTCTGCCACGCCTCCTGAGAAAATTAAGAGGAAAGGGAGGGTTATTGACAACCCTTATGCTAATGTTGGCCAGTTTAGCATTGGGTTATATGCTCCCACCAAACCCCAGCGCAAAAAGAGCCCTTTGGTTAAACAACTGCAGGTAGAGGATGCTCAAGAAAGAGCGTCCTTGGCCATGGCTTCTGCTCATGCCAGGGAGCACTCACCAACAGGGAGACTATCTCATATTAGCAGGGCAGAGTACCAACATCAGCTTATCCAGGAGAAAGTTAGAGCCCAAATCGAAGGAAAAGGCCCTTTTGCTGCTGCTATTGCCGGAGCTGTGAAAGACAGAGAGAAGCGATTGGAAGAGAGGAGGAAATCCACAGTCTTCCTATCTGTGGGCGCCATTGAAGGTAGCACTACGGTCCCGGAGCCCCCATCCCTGACCCAGTCTAGGTCTATTGATGAGCGACTACTGGGCAGCAGGGACCAGCTGGGCCAGCTACCTCCCCCAGCCCCTGCTCTCAGGCCTTCACCGGGCGGAACCACTTTCATCCACCCTCTCACTGGAAAGCCCCTTGACCCAAACTCACCACTGGCACTTGCGCTGGCCGCAAGAGAACGGGCACTGACTTCCCAGGCTCAGTCACCATCTAGCAGCCCAGAACCTAGGACTAAAATGGATAAAACAGGGCCTTTGTTTGTGGACACCCAGACCAAAGAGGCAGAGCGATCAGATACAGAGGGTGGGGGATTGATATCTCCCCCTTTCTCCCCAGGAACTAAAGGAGGATATGGACCCAGTCTAGGCACAACAACCCCCACTAAGAGCCAATGGGGGACTCCATCAACTCTCCGCAGAGAGATTGAGACAAGGACTGACAAGGCAGAGGAAAGAAAACCAGAAGACAAGAAAAGTATGATTATCAGTATCTTGGATACATCCCAGCAGAAGACGGCTGGCCTGATCATGGTTCACGCAACAAGTAATGGGCAAGCAGTAGGACTGGATTTGGAGGAACCTTCCATAGCTTCTAAAGGTGCCCTGCCTGAGCCCTCCAAGCACTCCCCAGATGAAGCGAAGCTCATACAACCACCCAGCCCTGCTGCCACGACCGCTCAACCGCCAGCCAGCTCGTCAACTGAAAAAACACTGGCTCAAGGCAGTTCCGAGGAGGAAGTAGAGCCCTACACCGTCACCCTCCCACCTGCCCAGTTGTCCTCCAGCGATGAAGAGACAAGGGAAGAACTTGCAAAGATTGGGCTCGTGCCACCGCCGGATGAGTTTGCCAATGGTGTCCTGGTGAAGGTCCCAGGGACACCTATACCGCAGCAGACCAAGCCTATTGCACCTTCCGCCTCAACCCAAGCAGCAACAGCAGCAGCAGCAGCAGCACTTCCTACTGCTGGTGGAACACCCTCAGGGAAGCCCTCAGACACCCCCTTGGTGCCTGAGTCTGCAGCCGACTCAGGTGTGGAAGAAATAGACACCCGGAGTTCCAGTGACCACCACCTGGAGACAACAAGTACCATCTCCACCGTCTCAAGCATGTCCACCCTGTCGTCGGAAAGCGGCGAGCCCACCGATACTTACACCTCCTTTGCCGACGGGCAGACTTTTATACTCGAGAAGCCGCCAGTGCCTCCAAAGCCAAAACTCAAGTCCCAGCTCAGCAAGGGGCCGGTGACCTTCAGGGACCCTCTATTGAAGCAGTCTTCGGATAGCGAGCTCCTCTCCCAGCAACATGCGGCCGCGCTGGCTGCAGCCGCCGGCACTGGCCGACCCCGCTACCTCTTCCAGAGAAGGTCCAAGCTTTGGGGGGATCCCGTGGAGATGCGTCCAATCCCTGGGGCCGAGGACGGCAAGCCCACTGTGATCAGTGAACTGAGCTCCAGGCTACAGCAGCTGAATAAGGACACACGGTCCCTCGGGGAAGAGCCAACTGGAGCAACACTGGATCCTGGAAAAAAGTCCCCTGTGGTGGGTGCAAGGTAAGGGGCCACTACTGTAAAGAACGTGGTTTCTTAAAACTGTGATTGTCTTGATCACTGGGGATCAATGTGCGGTTAAATGAAAGCATCACTGACATTCCAGGGTTATGCATGACACTGCTGCTTTGATAAACTTTGCACGTTTAATAAACATAATTAAACTAAATTATGTTTTTAATATTCCTATGATAGACCCCCAATCACTTTGCTACTTTGCTATTGATTGTAGTAGCCCTTTAGTAACTTAAAATATAAACTGTATATATTCCTTTCATTTCGCTTTGTGACAAAACTGAAGAATACTGCCAATTAGTACAAAAAACACTTTTGTAGAAAATACGCAGTACAAACAGTGAATAGAATACTCAAGTAGATTGTAAATTTCAAAAAGGCATTGATCAAATATTGAACAAAGTGAAACATGATTATAGACCTTCTCTCTACAGTCAAATGCTAAATATCATAACTTAGTTCTTAATTCCTTGGAAGCTAAGTCATTATCGTATTTCACATAACTTTGCAAATTTGTTGTGTTTATAGACACACCTTTAATTACTTTACAAAAGCTTAAATGCGTTTAAGCTGGAGACTGATGAATTGAGCAATGTTTTTACTGTGAAATGTCAGTGACGTTCCTAGATTTGTCAGTGACGTTCCTAGGTCAGTGTGAGGAAATGGTGCTCTATCAATGCTTCATCATGTTGTAAACAAAACCCCGTGTCCTGAAAGATTCCTCTCCATTCAATAAAGAAACTAAATGCAGTTTCATTCAAACAATGCCACTGTCCTAAAATAAACCATGTTTTTTTTATCATAACCAAGATTCTCTTGATAATTTCAGTAATTAATTCTTAAGTCATACTGACATTTCAGCAAGTTTTAACCAAATGTCTGTCAGAAATACTTTTACAGTTAAAGTATACTTTATTTTGAAACATCCAAAACAGTTTATGTAATAGGGTGTCCATTGTTGTAAGTATCACTTCTGGATGAAAACGAAGTCAATTCTAGCATCATTCTAAGCAGTGCAGTTTGCTATTTGAAAATTTAATGAGTGACATTTCCAGTAGCAGAAAACTCTTTAGTCTCATTCTAAACTCCTTTGAAGAAGACGCATTTAATATATTCAGCGTGTTGACCCATTTATTAATGGCCCTGGGTATTTTAGCTAATAAATTATTTTTCTTTCCATTAAAAAGTACGGAAACACAGCAATATCTTCAATCCAGCATTCTGCAGTGGTAAGTAATGTACAGCATCAAATATTAATATTGATATTCCATTACAAATATCCTATTAGATCCCTAAACCAAAACCTCATCTGGAGTTCCCTCCCTTACTGGTAGATAACAGTGTTTTCGTCCTTAATTTCAGGGCACCAGTTTGTGTGCTGTTTGTTCTGAATAATGCATCATAATGGCCATCAACAAAGTACAAAGTGTCAGATAAAATATCAAATATATTAAAAAATAGATGTGACTTAAATTACATTTTAGCTGGAAATGGATTTACGTATTGAATGTGCCATTTTCTTTTTTCAGGAATGACTTGGGATTTTTTTTTTAATGAGTGTTTATCTAGCATTAAATATTACTGTTGGTGAACTGTTTTCAAGTGTATAAAACCAACTTTGTTTTCTTTGAAAATGCAATGTCTCTTGACTTGAAAATACAATAAAGTCCTTTGTATTCCTACAGATGTGACAAGGAAAATGAAGAAAAGTAAAGCTTAGGGTGTTAGCTCCTAGGGTAAACATGAACTTAAATGTATAAATGTTTTGAACTAATCCCTTCTTAACACAATAACTTTAGTTCTGTTGTTATTCTCACCAAGTCATATGTTACCTTGTCTGCTATTTTAACTCTTGGGAAAAGCACAGGTTCTCATACCACTACTCCAGCTTTTCAGAGTACACCTTCAGGAGTGTTTAACAAGTTGTGGAGTGCTGAAAAGTACAGCATTGTCAATTACTATGTGTTGCCACAATTGTGCTGAGTAACATACCTGTGATTTTTCTTTTCATTGTTTGCATCCTGACGAGTCCAGTACAAGCACTTTTGAGGATATCAGCCTCCATTCAGTACAGCAGGGTTATGTTCTTCAGGCTGCTCCTTGTCTGGCGTCTATCAGCTGCAACAGAAATGCCTTTCTCCCAGCCTTCATGCACTGGAACGACCTGTAGTTGATGTTTCCCTGCCAGTTGCAAATGATGTCACTCAGCTGCAGAACACAATCCTGGTGGACTGAATGTAAGCCGCACTGGACTTCTGCTATAGCTTATAAGCAGTGTATTTATCTTCATAATTTTTGTGAATTAGGGAAGTTCTCGGTGAGCTCTGGAAGTTCTAGTACACCTCATTAGCAAATTTAGTCTTAAACATTGTTTTTTTCAAGTACAACTGAGGTGTTGTGCTCTAATTCCTGTACGTGAAGCAGTGTGTTAAACATGTATTGATGATAATTTCATCAGCCATAACCTACAAACCTTTCTGACTAGCTTTAAAGTTTAAGGCTGCAGTATCTGTTCATTAATCAAATACAGTTGATCTATCTAATGGACTGTTCCTCTAGGACACTTTAGACCTGTCTTATACAGGGGTCTAAACACTGTAGGTGTTCTTGGTTTCTTCTTATGTGAAAATCCTCAATACAAAATATTAAAGTTACTTAAAAGTCAGGCTCCATTTTTGGATATACTCTTGCAAAATGTGTATATTGTTCACAATTCTGAATGAGTTTGAAATATGCAAATGTGCCCACCTTTACCACTGTATCACATTTGAGCCAAATCAATTATTCAAACCAGACCCATGTTTCTCTTTTGTATCTTCTCAGCAAAGTGGCAAAAATAGAACAGTATACTGCACCTACCACATATGTTAAAATTAAAATAAATTATAAAATCACTTTACTACTTTTCTCTATTTTTTCTTTTCTTCATTTGCTAAATAGAAGCTATTCGGTGTATTTACTGTATAATGAAAAGGCTCACACAATTTGCAGAATTAACCCAAAACATTATACAAGTCTCAAATACTCACATGGAGAGTATCCAATTTTAACCTCATGTTATTATTGTTGTTTTTATTTTGGTTGCAGACAATGAGATACATGCATTTATCATTCAAAGTCTTACTCAAGAGCACAAAATTTAGCAAGGGTTGCTCTCACAAATAGAGAGCATGATGCACAAAGGACTGTATGATTCCTTTTAATATTTTGTGTTGGGGAAAACATAAGAACACTTTTTTTATGCAGAAAAGTGAAGAGGTATAATTTGAATAAGCACTTTTAGCAAATTATTCATTTTGTATTGTGGAATGGAAAATTCTACCTTTTACAGATACTGAGAGTAATCAAGTCAGGGACTTTACATTCTGTTTTACAGGCATAAATATTATCTGCTCTGTCTACAATGGAATATTTTACTTTCCCTGCTTTGAGACATACCTTTTATGGAGAGTAGTGTATCTCATTCTGTAGACTTGTGTGCCTTAAATGTATCAGGAGGTGCAAACAAGGTAACAGAGGACTTGGGATTATTAATACACTAGCATGTGCCACATCATTGCAGCTCATTTAGATCTTAGATCACTTCATCTTTCACACATTTACTCCTGCATTAGACTCTTCTACCTGTTGCATTCCTATACTGTAATGGTGTGCAAGCAGAGAGGACAGGTCAACTTAACTCATTAAAAAAATACATATTTTTTACAGTTTGCTGTAATCAATCATCAGAATCTAAAGGTGTCATTTTCTTTGTATTTCACATTAGTATTTTAAATAGAATGTGGAAGCTCTCAAGATACAATAACTTGTATTTAAACCACTGTGTATTTAAACCACTGTTTAAAATGAATATACTCAGTTTTTACAAAGTAATAGTAGATTTGGCGATTTATGTGAAACAAAACTCTGTATATTTGGCAGCTAGCAGTTTTACACCAGGTCCTTGAGCAAAACTGAATAAAATATACTGTATGTAGGGACAGAAGATGTTAGTTGTTGCAGGCAATAGAAATGTAATATTTTTTACATTCCAGAACAGGTGATGTACTACAGTATGCAATGCATAAAACATCTATGTGGCAAACAGAGTTTCTAGACAAATAGGACCAGATTCTGGGAAATATTATTTTTATTTTTCTACAAAGCAGAAGCAGCAATAGTTGCTACAGTCTAAGCTCCTCAACACTTTTCCCTGTTCTGCTCAATCCTATTCTGGAGGTGCAGCCCTCTTACGGAGATGAGAAGGTGTTTACACTTTCTCAAGGCAGTTAATTGGGTCACTTACTCACAGGCTGTCCACATCACCAAGCTGTGCAAGAGTTTTGTGATCTGGAAAAAAGCTGAATACTATCATAAACAATATAGTCAATGTCAATGTTAGAATTAATAGCCTTGACACAATGATTACACGCATGAGGCACAGCACCAAGCACAATATAGAGCACACTTTTTACATGATTCACAGCCTTACAGAGATACTTATGCAAAGGCCTAACGTGTATGCTGCAGGTACCAAAATACTGTGTCAAATGGGGCAAATATACATTTCTCATCTTAATATGGTTTGGTTCTGTATATTGAATCAAATGACAAGAAACGTATTTTAGCATTGAAAAGCCATCATAAAGAAATTGTAATAAAAGCCAGTGATGGCATACAGTAGAAACAAACAGTTTTATGTACTTCTTGCTTCCAAATTGCTTGCAGTTCAAATAGTTCATTTCATTAAGCAATTTGAAAGCTGTGGTGGTTAGGGTTAGGGTCAGGTTCATTGGGGAATTTATATCTGAGTATCTCACCAAAACTATTCTGATCTGGGAACAGTTTCTGTTGGGTTTCAATACCCTTAGCAGTCTTTGTTTCCATTTAAAAAGGTAACAGGAAAGAGAAGAAATTGTTCAAACATTTGAAGCTTTGAAGAACTGTTATTAACACCATTAAGAAAAAAATTCTTCAGAAACAAATCCACTTTTTAATTTAAGCGATAA